GTAAAACTAAAACTGAAATAGAAACAGGGACGCGGGAAGTAGGGGTGCTGAGGGGGCTGCAGCACCCCCTGTTTTCACATGGTTGCAAATGCAACGCCAGGTTTGTTCATTTAAATTTATTCAGTTTTAGCATTTAATAATTTATTTGTAATGTTCTCTGAAATGTAAATTGTAAGTGTGCTATAATAAACCCATGTTTATCTTTATAAACATGATTAATTTGGCTTGTGATGTTTTCTATATGGGATGATTAGCCTAATCCTCATGAACACGTGACGCTAGCGCCCCCCCAACACACACAGCACCCCCAACCGAAAGAATCTTCCCGCGCCCCTGAATAGAAATGAATCCAATTAAATAGGAATCATTAGAAAATAATAAAAGAGGCACATAACAAAATTATTAAAACTTCAACGTAGATATAAAAAAGCTAAATATAAAAACAATAATAGTATATAAATATTAGTAAAACTATAACTGAAATAAAAATGAATCAAATTAATTAGTAATCTTTAGAAGAAAAAAAACAATTATTAAAACATAAACTAAAATTAAAATGAAAACAAAAAAAGCAAAATATAAAAGCAAGAATAGTATATGGATGGATAAAGTTATTTTAGAATTTTGTAAATACTGTATTTGTTATATAAATAATATTTATTTTAAATACTGTATTTGTTATTTAAATGATGTTTAAAATTGTTTTCAATATTATCAAATATTAAATATATTCATTTAAAAAATGTTGCTTGTTCAGTTTAAAGTTTGTCAAACTGCAAATTTTCACACCAAGTTCATAATGGTGGATATGCCGTAGAGTCTGATTTTAATTAATTACCCCAAGTTATTATCATGACTAATCTGCTCAGTTTGCTTGTTTGTTTGCAATCTGTTTAGTATGCTTGGATTCTACTTATAATGAGACTAAAACCCCATTTTTGTTGCCACACATCGACAGTAATTTGCACCAAATTTCACTTATACAGAAAGTCCTTGCACTTTTTTTTCTCCTCATCTCTCACTCAGTCATGCGTTTCGTTGGGGGACTAATTGCCTCTCATTATTTTCTTGCCACGTTGATTAATCAGCGGAGAGACGACATGGAAAATAGCATATGCAAATAGTTAATAGTCTCTTTTTGAATATCTGAATAGTTAACGACACGGCGAGTTAGTTATCAGTCTCTGAGTAAATCTAATGAAGAAAATGAATTAGAATAATAACAGACTGTGTGACAGAATCTATGTGGTTTTTCTTCCACAGCGAGACGATGCTTGTATGACAGGCGTTTCATAGACTCCTGCAGCTGCGCAGAGAAAGAGTCTGAGCACTAAAGCAATATGCTAAATTTAGGTTTTTGATAGAAATTATAAGTAAGAAAGTCTTTCTTTTTCGATTAGACTTCCATCTGCGGTTGCCATTGAGCTCCTGTAGTGAATAAACGGGTGACTGGGTCTCAGTATGAAGATAAGATGCTTTCGGTGTTGTGAATGGGACCATGTGTCAGATATTGTGTTTTTGCTCACACATAATACCCTGAAGAATATTTTCTGATTGTTTGACACTTCCCAGGTGGGATTTCACTATGTTATGCTCTCATGCCTTTATTCCTTTTAGATTCACAGTGTAGAGAAACTCAAAGAGTGACTCCCTTACAAGTGTGCCATATAAAAGACTATAGTCTGGCGTCTTTCATCGATGTTTAGCTCCTTTCTCGGTTCTCTCAACAGCCGTTGGCACTTTTTGGGTTGACGTAATGTTATTTGTTTGTGCATCTGCCTGTAGCTGTTGCATTTTCTGCTGTTTGGTCGCCTGGCCAAGAGGTTCCCATCCAATTCTTATCTCACATGCCACATGTGTTTAAACACACACACACACACATGCAGTCTTATCACTTCTTTGTGCTTATCTCACCTGTGCAAAATCATTCAGCTTGGAGAAAATAAACAAGCCTGTAGATATGTGTCACCTGACAAGAACTGACCCAAATATGACAGCTCCGACAACACACACACACACACACATTGTTCTCTCCTCCATTGATGTTAGCGGTGATTCTGCTCTCCTCTTCAGCATTCAGATGTACTGCATGGTCCTCTTGAGGCAGAGCTGGTATTGTGCTTCTGAAATCAATATGACGGGTCTGAGGTGACTGCGGTACATTCCCGTTTCAGACCTTGTTATCAAACCCAGGTGGCACCTGACCTTTTCGAAGTCATGTTTTGAGGTGGAATGTGGAGGTGGGTTGGTGAAGCTTTGTTGGTGTGCGGCGGCTAGTTTCATTGACGTTAATGACCTTTAAATTCAGTTCGCTGTGGATCAACGTTAACCAACATGAACTTCACCCACTGATCTTTTAGACATGATCTAAATCTATAGAAATCAGTGGACTGTTTCTCCTCCAGTGGCTATTCATTGACTATGACTGATTTAAAACCACTTTCATAGGAAGTAACAAATGTTACGGGCATAAAACAAGTAGCCAGCCTTGAAAACCATCCATGGCATGCTTATATCCAGTTTCTTTTATGTTAAAAGTCCAGTTATTCAATTCAGATAGTTGAATGCCTCAGTTATTGATTATACAGGTGCGTCATTTTTAACCAAGACCAGTAAGCCAATAATTATTGTCATGTCATGGCAAATATGAAAAATCTATATTATTTTGTGTAAAATAATAAAAAATAAAATAAAAAAATACGTACATACATACATGTTTGGCTTTGTTTATTTATTTATTACAGCAATTACAGCAGTAAAAATTGATATTTATTTTGATATTTTTATTGTGTTATATTTTATATATGAATTAGTATTTTTTATTATTAATGTATTGCATGTATTGTTACATATGTTTATTACTATTATATTTACTTTGATATCATCATTTGATATCAGTTTTTAACTATTAAATTAAATAAAAAAAATTAACAACAATTATGTTTTTTGTTTTTTATTTTTTATTACATATTATTTTACACATTTTTATTTTAAATGTATTATTACATATATTTATTACTGTTATATTTACATTGAAATAATCTTTAATAATGTTATTAAATTATTAAAGTTGGATGTTCTTAAAGGTCATCCAAATGTAAAAATGTTTTGCATTTTATTATGTATTGTTTAATATGTATTTTAATTGTAAATGCCTTGTTACATATATTTATTACTGTTATATTTATGTTAATATAATCTTTAATAGTGTTATTTCAAATGGTCATCTAAATGTAAAAATGTATTTTTAATTTATTCTATGATATTTTATGTATTTAATATTAAATGTATTTTAAAATTTATTTATTACTATTATACTTATTTTGATAACATCTTTAATTGCATTATTACATTATTAAACTTTTTAACAATTAACTTTGTTAACAAATTAACTGATCATTATACATGATGGTCAAATGTAATCTAACTGTAAAAATAAAGGAAATAAACATGCATGGAAATATCCATTGGCCGATATCCAAAATATCTCTCCACAAATGTACAGCCATATGCTTGATACCAGTCACTGCATCCTAAAAGTGAAGCAATTGCGTTATTCCTGTTTGTTCCATCTTGCCTTAACCATCATGCTGCCATATCTTTTGTGGGTGTAAGGTTTTGTTTTCCTTTATTTCTTCAGCAGACCTTTAGCTTGTGTTGTGTCTAACTAAATGTAACTAGCTTCAACCAGACACAAGCCTCATTCTCAGCGCTGTGGATCACATCTGTCGAGTTAGATGCACTGATGACCCCGGCTCTGAAGACGAGACTCAGCAGGTAGAGAGTCTCCATCTCTGTGTGCGTATTTTGACTGTTCCCTAGTTACCGCTGGATTAATTGGCCCATCTGGTGAGACACAACTAGCCCGATGATCCCTTGCTCTTCAGTCTACCTGTAAGGAACGTTGCAGGATGCTAGTATGACTTGATGAATGTCTGAGAGCAAAGGCCCCGTCATGTTGTGTCGAATGTTGAGGTCGTTCAATAGCAGTTGTACCTGACAGCCTGAGGCCCCAAATGCTAAGCGCTCCCCCAAAACAAAAGAAAATAGTGGAAAAGGGTCTAAAGGCCACTCTTTGTTGTTGGTATTCGCAAGAAATAAGAAATGTGAAATGAGGATATGAAATCTTAAGGAAGTCCTGTATAATTAGGCTGGCTTCCAGTTCTGCCTCACAGGAACCACATCGCTGAAGGTAAACTGTTCAGCCTAGAATAAATCATGTGTAAAGGAGCTCCAGCCTTGAAGTCTCACTGTGGACAATGTGACCTAGTTTTTTCAGCATTAGCTAATAAATTCACCTGTATGTTGAAATCCACAATATGCACGAATCATCGTGCATTATAAATACACTCAATGGGATTCTTTGACTTGAAATACTTTTTATTTTATCGCATCGCATCGCAATGCATTGCATGCCATTTTCATTGATTTTTGTTGGGTTTCTGTGTGTTTCGCGACCAGTAAAATAAGTTTACGCTTTGAAGACTAATCATAAAAATAGTTTCAGCAGCGGCATGTAGGGGATTGACCTGTCAGTTATTTCACAAACCTACAGCAAAAAAGGTAAAGGGGATTGTGTGCTCCCTCGGGTATGATTCTTTCAAAAATAAATGGTTGAAAGGCTGAGTACTCCGAGCTTATAACAAGCTGATTTAATTGGTCTGGCAGTGAAAATGTTGACGCGGGTGAGTGAATTCTGATGGGGCGGCTTTGACAGGTGTCAGATGTCTCTGTGATTACGCACTCTGTTTGGTCCCTTATGAAATCTATATATCAGAGCTACACAAGCATGCTTAAAGTTTCTTGAAATCATTATTATAAACATATATGCCTTTTTAAAATAATAAAAAAATAATATAGTAATTAATAAAAAATAATGAATAGTATTAGTTGAATTAAAACAAATAATATTATGACATATGCAATGCTTTATGATACTTTGTATGTGTGTCTGTGTAGTTTAAATTCTATTGATATTTATTTTTTCCTCTTTTTATTAGGTGAATGGGCGTGAATTTTCCAAGTCTGGACATGAGGGAACGGTGGAGGCCATGCGGAAGGATCCCATTGTGGTGCAGGTTTTGAGGCAGGGGCCCTCGGCCCGGAACCAGAGCAGTCTACAGGAAGTGTGTGTGGTGGATGTGTGCACTCAGACGGACATCACCTTTGAGCACATCATGGCTCTGGCTAAGATGAGACCCACCACCCCACCTGTGCCAGACATCTGCCCCTTCCTGCTGTCGGACAGGTACATACATATGCTGCCAGAACTCTTAATTACATTTGGATTTAGATTTAATCCTCATACTGTTTATTGTACTGTGTATTTGTCATTATCATACAATACATATGTTTAGTTACAATAACATTATTATTATTATTATTATTATTATAATTATTATTATTATTATTACATTTAGTCATTTAGCAGATGCTTTTAACCAAAGTGACTTACAAATGAGGACAATGGAAGCAATCAAAATTAATGTATTATTATTGTTGTTGTTGTTGTTATTAGTTTTTTTTTTTACAAATCTTAAATATATTAAAAAAGAAAAAAATATATGCAATTTTATTTTCTATGTATAGTTATATTTATAAATGTGTTCTTTTATTTTATATTTATTTACTATATTTATTTTATATTATATTATATTTAATTTATTTATTTTTTTATAATGTTCAGTTATCAAAATTAATTGATTCACATTTAAAATGATTTTTAACTTTAATTAGTTATTTTTTATAAATGCAGCTATTTTTATTGCATTCTTCACATAATTTACAATACTTAACAGTTTTTTAATACTAAATGAATACATATACATCCATAACCATGAATACTTCCTTGTCTATTTTGTATTATTTTAGTAATAAATGAATGAATAAATAAATCTGAATTCACTGTTAACAGAGAGAGTTTTATAGTCAAAGGAGGTACTGGGTTCATTTAATTGTAAAAACCTCAAAGACAGGAGTTTCAAAAGGCATTTTAATTAGTTATTTCAATAAATACAGCTATTTTTATTGCATGCTTCACATAATTTTCAATATTCAGTTAGCAGGGGGTTTTTTTTCCAGAAAGAATACATAAACATACATAAACATGAATGCTTCCTTATGTTCAATTTACAGACAAAGATCTACTGAAAATGAACTGAATAATGCGTTTAGAATGAAGAAGGTTATTTGGTGATCTGTGTTTAATTCATTAACACACGTTGTTCTCACCTGTAAGATGTGGCACTGAGCATCAAATTTGATGCAGGCAATCAAATTAATCGGGCCAAACCCTTTTTAACAGCAATTTAAATTTTCTGAAAAGTAATTAAAAGATAAAAGCTCAGTTTGATCCATTCTCATTGTTCCACATCACTGTATTCCTTCACTGAAATTAAAAGTGTTTAATATGGAAAATGTTCCTGTTTCCCAAAGTTCAAATGGCAGACGAAAGTCTACCAGGACTGAGCCAAGCATGAAGAGAGCAAGTCAAGTTTGGAAAATTATTCTGCATGCAGACAGTTCTTTTCCAGTGTTTTAATTGCTGATTTGAATTAGCAAGCAATGGCTCCCCTCCTGTCTCCTGTGGAGTGTAAAATGGCACTTTTTTATCTCTCACCTTCTTGACACAACAAAGGAAAACAAAGGCTGAAAACGGGGACTGCATATCGACAAAGAGAATTCTAGCTTATTGTACAGATATTGCCTGTTCTTACACCATTTCTCGCTCAGAGATATGTAAATGTGGAGCACCTGACATCAAACAGAGGGAACTGCTTCTCCTTTTTGTATCATCTCTAGAAAATGTATCATAAACAGCCTACAGAAATGTTCTATTAATACATGTCTGTTGGGGGGGGGAAGTATGTTATACGAATATTAGTCATTAAAAATGCATTTATTCGTATAATGCACATCAATGAAATAATGTTTTCTCCCTCCTCTATCAGCATGTCTCTGATGTGTGAGACCTTCATTTCAGAAGAAGAAAAGTAACCCAGCATAGATTCTTATATAAATTCTTATAAAGAATATGGTTGTTTTACTTGGCGTGCTGAATATATAAATATGTATTACTTTTGGGGGGGAAGCAAGAAAATATTCCCACATCCTTTATATATTTCTTGCAGTATTCACTTCCCATCATTATATATTATATGGGGGCATTATATTGCCTTCTTTTGTAAATAGTCTGAAAGGAATTGATTTTTCTCATTTTAGAACAGATATGCAAATGAATCTATTACAATAATGAATTATTTTTGTGATAAGGCCTGGAATTATTGCTGGTGTGTTGAGATGAATTATGACAATTTACATATTGATGCCATGTTTGTTGTGCTGTTGATAGGTCGAGCTCAACAGCATAGCTGCGAGGGATGGACGCATCAGAGAGGGAGACAGAATTTTACAGGTGGGAAAAATGTCATTTTTTTACACACATTTACACATGCTCATTCACAACCTCAAAAGATGATTATCCATCATCCTATTAATCCAGATGATGATTTTGATTATTTATTTGGTAGCTACAATCAGTGGTGTAGTGGTGCCTGGAGAAGTGGGTATACTCTTAATTTATGTCCCCATTTTTTTAAGCGGCCCAGCAAAGGATGAACGGCCTGTGTTATAAACAGTGACGTAAGACTAGTCTTGCATATTTAGTTCACCCCAAAATGGGCCAGTAATATTTACACATTTTCACTTACTGTAACTTCTGCTACTTGACTTCATGGAGTAAGGATCACTATGAAATTAATATTAGCCACAAAAGAGGTGCAGATTTTGCAATAAATAATTAAAATGTAAAAATTACATAGACTGCAACAATTAACATTTTGTCAGAACCTCTAGTAGACAAGCTATTTTGTTTAGTTATCAGTAGGAGGATCATGATTTCTATTTGATACCCCAAATTTTATTTTTTAAATTGTGCAGCCTACTCCAATGTTTGACTGATTGTTTCTTCCATGGCATACAGTGACGGGCAAATAGTAACCCCCTACTTCCCCCACACCTTTTTACAATTTATCTATATAGACTACTATATAGTGCAAAAATTAAATAAATAAATACAATAAAAAATAAAATTGTATTAAAAATAACATTTTTAATACAATTAAGCACTAGTCAAGCTGCAATATCAAACAGGACCACAAGGAGACGCCAAAAGATCACTAAACCTACTGCCTTGACCTGACTGTACAGGCTTCTACACGGATCCATTCAGAATCTAAAAAACACCTTCAGGCTTCAGCAGCGTCCATTATAAAACACTCGTGCTTTTAAGCCAAATACACGCTGAAAACTGAGCCCAAAACAGTTCAACATATCAAACAAAAAAATCCCATTCGTTTCTGTCAAATGCCTTATCTGCATCTAGTGACAGCAAGGCAGTGTGTCTCTTCTCCCTTCTGGTCATGCAAAATATTAAGTACCCTTCTAACGTTGTGGCATCCTTGTCTATGCAACATAAAACCATTTTGATAATTCCCTATCAAGTATGGTAATACATTTTCTAATCTTCTTGCTAAAATTTTACTCAAGATTTTTGTATTCGAATTCAGTAGACTTATAGGGCATATATTTTCACATTTATTATTAGGTTTTCCTGGTTTAGGCTGCAAAATTATTATGGTTTGTATGGTTTGTTAGGATAGGACAATATTTGGTCGAAATACAACTATTTGGAAATCTGGAATCTGAGGGTGCAAAACAATCAAAATACTGAGAAAAATCGCCTTTAAAGTTGTTCAAATGAAGTTCTTAGCAATGCATATTACTAATCAAAAACTAAGTTATGATATATTTACGGTAAGAAATTTACAAAATATCTTCATGGAACATGATCTTTACTTAATATCCTAATGATTTAGGCAATAAAAGAAAAATCGATAATTTTGACCCATACAATGTTTTTTTGGCTATTGCTAAAAATATACCCAAGCGACTTAAGACTGGTTTTGTGGTCCAGGGTCACATATAAAATCTTTGTACCATATCAAACTATTCACAAACGAAAATAGTTACACTTATTCAGTCTATATTGAAAACAAACCTTTATATTTTCTTGTAGCTATGTAGTTCACAGACTTTAACCAGTGGTGTAGTGGTGCCTGGAGAAGTGGGTATACTCTTAATTTATGTCCCCATTTTTTTAAGCGGCCCAGCAAAGGATGAACGGCCTGTGTTATAAACAGTGACGTAAGACTAGTCTTGCATATTTAGTTCACCCCAAAATGGGCCAGTAATATTTACACATTTTCACTTACTGTAACTTCTGCTACTTGACTTCATGGAGTAAGGATCACTATGAAATTAATATTAGCCACAAAAGAGGTGCAGATTTTGCAATAAATAATTAAAATGTAAAAATTACATAGACTGCAACAATTAACATTTTGTCAGAACCTCTAGTAGACAAGCTATTTTGTTTAGTTATCAGTAGGAGGATCATGATTTCTATTTGATACCATATTTGTATTTTTTTAATTGTGCAGCCTACTCCTATGTTTGACTGACTGTTTGTTCCATGGCATACAGTGACGGGCAAATAGTAACCCCCTACTTCCCCCACACCTTTTTACAATTTATCTATATAGACTACTATATAGTGCAAAAATTAAATAAATAAATACAATAAAAAATAAAATTGTATTAAAAATAACATTTTTAATACAATTAAGCACTAGTCAAGCTGCAATATCAAACAGGACCACAAGGAGACGCCAAAAGATCACTAAACCTACTGCCTTGACCTGACTGTACAGGCTTCTATATGGATCCATTCAGAATCTAAAAAACACCTTCAGGCTTCAGCAGCGTCCATTATAAAACACTCGTGCTTTTAAGCCAAATACACGCTGAAAATAATAATTCTGGAGGTGACTCTAAGCCATCTCTAATGAAATCGGTCGGGTTTTCTCTGTAGCTGTTTTGAACTTAGGCTACTGTTTGAAGGCATTCGTTTACTGGATCCTTCAACTGAAAAGTTTACCGGTTTGAAAAAAAATCTATTGTTTTCGTTATAATGTACAGATTCAAATTAGGAGTCAATAATTAAATATTATTTTATCACTTTGCATGCCTCCCTGACATGCACTCAAGCCCCAGACCGACTCCGCTTGCATTCACGTGATTTGTCGAGATGAGAGGCGGGCGCAATCATCAATCAAACTCAAAGGGTTTTTATATGTTTAAAAATATATCTTATAAAAAAATGTTTGCATTCAAAAGTTTGCAGTGTAAATGCATTTATGGCACCTCAGCTTCATGAAACAGTCTGTATAAATACAGTTAATGCCACTTTAGGTGCAGCTTCTGTGTTTCCTGCAGTTAAAAGATGGAATTTGTTGTTGTTACTGATTTCATTTGAACGGTAACAGCTCTACAGTTTTTTATTCTAACTGAATTAATTTAAACAATTGAAAAAACAAAACATCTGTTTTGTTAAATATTACAGAAACTCCTTTTCGGTTGTTATTTCTAGCTTTTTTTCTAGTTACAGAGCACTTTATTTTGAGAGTTGTTTAAGTGAGCGAACATCTGTAACTTTGTCCTGATTGGGGGAATTGTAATGTTTAATAATTGTTTATTATGTAAATATTATTTATATTTTTTTCCATTAAAAAAAGTACAGATTGTATATGCTGTCAATTATAGTTTTTAGAAAGAAAACCGGAGTCAGCAAAAATCGGTATCGGCAGGTCACACTTACAAAAAAA